TAGCTGGTATATAATGATGTGCTATGTGATCGTTAGCAACACAGCTATGTTAGCATAACATAAACACAGTGAAGCTTGAGGATGATCGCTAATTTTTTTTCCACTCAATAAAAGTTAACATGAGGGTTCCCGATGGTTAGGGACAAATTCAATCGAATGGCAGGATGCTGTAAATGGACCAAACTTCAGTCAGGAGAACAACTGAGATAATCCATCCACAATACGAGGTTGGTCATTAATATACTGCAACAACATGGGAATAGAGCAGCTGTGAGAGAATTCAGCATTCATGAATCAATGGTACAGAAGTGGAGGAAGGAAGAAGAATGAGTTGAGTAAAATTTGACTTATCTGACTAATTTGTTTAGCTTAATGCACTTTATAATACGGTGCACCTTATGTATGAAAACAGACCTGTTCATCGACAGTGCACCTTATAATCCAGTGTGCTTTATGGTCTGAAAAAAACGGTAAATGGCAGTCAGATTACTCTCTTCTTAGTACAGAAAACACTGGACCGTGGAGTTACATAGTTGGTAGTTTTCTGCTCTCTCTCATTGTCAGAGGAGTCTTGCTGGAGATGGGAACATTCTGAAGAAGTCCTCAATCCTGTTCACATGCCTTCTTCAATGGAAGCTGAGTCTAGGGAAAGTGGCAGCAGAGAGAGATATCTGTTCTCTACTTCTCTACTTGGAGCGCTGACCCTATGACCTGAACCTGTTAAGGAGCAGACAATGGATATGAGAAGAGGGTTTGTTAGTTTCTCTCTCTGACCACTGCAGGGTGCTGATCACTCACTTATATTTTCATGTTTTTGTTTTCACTTCCTTTTAACATCAACAGAGTGGGTGCTTTGCATTTCCTCAAGACACCAGTTGCATCTCTTCCTTATATCTAAACTCCAGCCAGTAAACATGTAATTGAGTGGAAGGTAAAGGCATATCTGCACAAATTTTTTAACAAGAATACATGGATTTTATATTGCTGTCATATTCCTACTGGCGAACACAGGAACTACCCAAAATTATAAAAATACAGAGTAAAATTTCTTTTAAGTCCAGTTCTGTGGTTGTAAATGGCCCTGCCTGCCTTTCTTTTAGTTAACACTGAACTTTTATGAGGTAGGAATGATAATAAGATAGGAAACCATTAAAATAACAAATTAAAATTTTCGCAAGTGCAAACTTGTGAAAATCTTTTTTTTTCTGTGCTGAAATATTAAAACAGTCTCTAAGGAGTGCAGCACAGGAACAAAATGTTAATTTGGGGGGAAATTTCTAACAAAACTGTTCTGGTCTTTGACGTGTGTGTTCACATTGGAATCAACTGTGTGAAGTGCAGACCACTAACCATAATAGAGACCCATGGTGCTTCTTGTCATGACATGTTTCTGTAGGAAATTTGTTTGCATTCCGCTTGACCCACTCTAGATTGATGCTACCAGACACTTACTACAGTCAAATGTTTTCTAAGCCAGTGTATCATTTAAGGTTTCCCAGAAGCCATTTCTCTCTCCTGTGGTGGTGGTTCTGCCTCACAGGAAATACAAGAATGTTGTCCTCACTGACTGAAATCAGGGGCTGTTCTGTCTGCTGCAGGCATGCTAGTTTACTTGACATTTTCTATGGTGCTTCATTGTAGTATCTTGTTTTTCTTTTCAACTCTGCACATCTGCTTTGATGGCATCTCTTTAATGAGTGCACTATGAGGCCAGCTTCTATAATATTAGGGGATCAATTTGGGGCTTTAAAGCACGTTTGTAGCACTTGCATTTGCGAGCCCAACTGGATCATTGACCATAGGGTATATCCTTGGGAAGTTTGCCATCAAGCATCATGACCACAACACAGCTGAGCAGTCAGGGCCATTGGGTACACTGTTGGCTTTCCTACACAGGACAAAACTTCAGTGTTAGAGAGCTTGTCTTTCCAAGTGACTGAAAACAAATGATGCTGCTGCATTTGGTCAAACTGCCCAAGCTTCTGGTATGAGCACTGTCCCGAATTCGAAAATGTTGAGCAATGGAACAAACAAACAGAGGCCCAGAAGAGTGCAGTCAAACAATGATTTATTGAGTACATGCGTGGGAAGATGTATACTGCAACACCAGCATCGATCTTCACCGAACAGCTCAATTTCGAATGGTTTTATTCATGTCAGGGTTCAACCCCTTCTGCGTCACAAATGAACATAATATGCATCAGTTACAGTAACTAATCAATTAAATATAGCTAAAACAGACAGAGATGTTCCTCTTTCTAGTACTTTTGTCCATACATGGTAATTAAACTCATTCTCTGAATAGCCCCTGGGGACTTTACTCTTTCTAAGCTCTTCTTCTGTCACTTGTTACTAGGCAAGCTCAAATGCAGTTTGAAGCTAAATGAATTCCAGGCCTTTGGCCTGGCCTGTTTAAATCATATATGTCTGTAAGCGTAAATGCTGTTTATCCTTCTGTTGCTCTAAGTCACTTTACACAATAGATTGTGAAGACATCGTGCTCAACAAAGCTTGAAACCTTCACTAGACTGAGCATCGACTCTTTTAATGAGCAGAACATGCAAATGTGTATACAATGATTATAGCTGCACCTGTAATAAAAAGGTTAATATGATGCCAGTAGCTTTAATAAACTGTTTAATGCAATGTTAATGATAAAGAATATATGGTAGCAGTAAAATAATTTCTATATCTCCACAGCACCATGTCACAAAACTCTATATGAGAAATGATATGAACACAGCTCTGTAAACCTTGCACTTCAGTAGACACTTGGTAGTTGAATATTTTATGATCAGACAGGATCTGAAGCAAACCAGAAGCAAAGCAATATTTCCTGACATGAAACTTGGTTTTAGGATCAATGGAGGTGATAGATGTATTTGTGCTTTCTAACTAGCAAAACAGCATTAAGTTGAGTGTTAGAAATACAGATGACTGGATCTCCGTACAGGAAGTGAGATGATGGCTGGTATAACCAAAGTGTTGAACCAAGCACCTGTGTTTGCACAGATGTGAACAGCAGCTACCTATACAAAAGCACTTATTTCATTTATGCCATGTAGCTTTTGCTGCCCTAGTAAAACAACTGGTGACCTTCTGAAGTTCATGGAAAGAACAGCAAGAGCACAATAATCTTCAAACTGTAGTTCATGGGTTACTATTTCCCTGATTGTGGTACTTGCACTGAGTCTTACAAGACTGAGAATATTTGATTGTTTTCACAAATGCTTTGCACAAAGCTTCTATTCTTTTCTTCTGTTGAAACAAAACATTTTTCTTCATGTGTTTATTTATTATTTTTAATTAATTTAGTTTTTAGCTATTTTAGTGTCTTGAGAAAAAAAGAAAAGAAAAAAACTTAAGACAAACAAACAATAAAACCCGCCAATATCAAATCTATTGTTATTGTTAAGCCACAGTGTTATTGCTTTTCTGCATTTGTTTATGGCATAAAAGTGCTTAGCAATAACACTGTGCCTATATAATATTTACATTTATTCTAATGACTGATGATGTTTTAAAATTTATTAGTTTGTGTTTACCTGGAAACAAAATAGATAGGTTTCACATTTGTATTTACGTCATCTGTATGCATGTGTGCAGGTAAATAAATTCAGGAACATATTTTCCTTATTTTCAGTCTTGTGTTTCTGTGTTCCTTTTGTTTGGTTTTGATTTATGTTCCATAACACTTTGTTTTTGTGTATTTTATTGTTATAAATATTCTATTTCAGAGCTGTGTTCTTCATTGTTTTTAATGAATTAGGAGCACAATCATAACACCCAAAGAAATTTATGTCTTGCCCTGGAGATCAGGTTTTGTGATGGGAACCTGACTCGTTATTCTGTTGTGATGAAGTTATTTGCACATTATTCTGACTGCAGAAACAAAGCCATGTTTGTCCTTTGACTTTGTTAAAGCCGGTAATTCTTGTGCCGTGTCTGTAGCTGCTGAGCTGTATACAGAGACTCTTGAGTACCTGGAGTTCTTCCTTTTTGTATGTGTTCAAGTGACCTTAGTATCTTAGTAAGCAACCTTTTTCATATATGAGCTTGGTTCAGACAATATACTGTAAATTTATTTACATTATTTTGAATATCTATATGAATGTTAAATTTTGTTTTTCTATCTTTTATCAGGTTTCTGTGAAAATATGGCTCATTGAAAAAAGTCCTCCACTTGGTCTGCTGAGACCTGGTTGTTTTACTTTAAACAAATCAATAATTTGTTTAGCATGCTCTGTTTCAGTAGATTTGTTTACATCTGCTCTGGGTTTCCACTCATCATACCTTGTTTTTAAATCTAGGAGTCCGCCAAAGGTCACCATCAACAAAATCGCCGAACCTTGTTAAGAGACATTTTTGTGAGTGTTTTTTTTTTGTAATTATAAATGAAGGTAATTTACTTTGCTTAGAGTCTTTTGTAACTGCAGGCGATGCCATAGGTCATTTGGCATTCATTTCCATATTAACCAGAAAAGCAAGAAAAATGACCTGAATCTAAAAATCTACTTAAAGTAAAATTTCTTGAAGAAACAATTAGGCTAAACTTTTAATTTAAGTTTAATCATCAAGTAATCTTTATTCCCTAATATTATGTGCACACATTTACAAACTTGTTTGCCTGCATTTTGACTAGAAGTTTTTTATACCTGTTGCAGTGTAGAGAACAATGAATTGTTTTCATCATTTTTTCAGTCAGCTGATTTCAAAAGAAAATACGTGTTATTTCCAAAAAAAAAAAAATGGTAATAAAGTAAAAGGAAACAGCAACTGTGCAACAGCTGTACTGGATGCTGACTGATTCAGTGAATGAAAGTACTGCCCTATGCAAATACTTTTTGACAGACAAACATAAAAAGTCAAAGCTCCAGCAGATATCATCAAACCTCTCTGTATTTTTGTTGCTCTTGAGAACTCTTTGAAGAAAGACAGCAATGAATCCAATTTTTCCCTGCATCCTGCTCCTGCTGAGCTTGTCTGGAACTTTTACGAAGTATGTTTACATTGTGGAGAACAAAAGCTGGGAAAAGGCTTTAGATTACTGTTGCCAGCACTATACAGACCTGGCTCCTGTTAATAATGAACGCGACATCCGCTTACTTCAGGAGCTCTCCGGTGGCACAACTGAAAAGATCTGGATAGGACTGATAAGGAGTTCCAATAACAAATGGTTGTGGTCAGGAGGTGGAGAGGTGTCCAGGTTTTTCTGGGATTTTAAACAACCTGACAATAAGAGTAGTGACAATTATGGCTATACTCAGCAAAACAGGTGGCATGATTCAGGTGGAAGTGGTAAGGAACACTTTTTCTGCTACTGGCCAGTGGTGGCAACTAAAAAAAAAACTTGGGAGGAAGCACTGGAGTACTGCAGGGAGCACCATAACGACCTGGCCAGTGTGGCATCAGAGACCGAGATGATGCTGATCCAGAAAGAGCTGAAGAAACATAACACCACTGAACATGTCTGGATTGGCTTGCGCTTCTTGTCCAGAGACTGGCTGTGGGTGGACGGACAGGAGATGGGCTACGAGGCCTGGGGTGATGGGGGAAAACCATTGTGTCCGCACCCCGAGATGAAGTGTGCAGCCCTACAAGTCACAGGAGGGACTGAAGGTGTTTGGGAGGCGCATGATTGTGTGGAGAGGCTCAATTTTATTTGCTACTGAAGTTGTTTACTTTGCAAAATTAATTTTAATAACATTTTTGTTTATTGTAGTTAGTACAGTTTGGTTATTTATATCACCTGTTTCATTTCTATCCTGTCAAATAATTATGTAAGCTAGATTTTTTTTGAAAGAATTCTATTTCAACTTTTTGTTTTGATGTGTAAATAAAAAAATGTCTATTTTGATTAAATTAAAAACAAGCAAAACAAAAAGAAAAATTTAAATGTTATTTCTCCTGCTGCAATATCAAAGTTCATTCATACTCAGTTGTAAAAATGTGTCTGTTTAAATGTTAATTGTGCAGCATAACTGTTGAAAATATAGTTAGACCCAAGTACTGGGACCATGTTAGCTTGGATATTTATCATATTTTAATCTCTGGTGTATTTTTTCCTATTTCTGTCTTATCAAGTTTAACAATCTTAAGCTTGTTAAAAATAAAAATAATTATTCTTTTGCTCGAGAAATAATATTTTTTGTTACCTTTGTATGGGACCCTGGAAGAAGGAAACATCAGGAAATTTAAAGAAATAAACAGGCGGATGATTTTAGTAGCCATTTTTTTTCTTGTATTTTTAAAGTGTTTAAACGTTTTTCTGTCTGGTTAAAATTTACAGATACAGTGTTTTTTAAATGTTTTGAGCCACCTCACATTTCTTTATATTTGACATTGTATTTTAGGAAATGGGAAGTAGGTGCAGGAATTTATTGAACCAAGCACCTGTGTTTGCACAGATGTGAACAGCAGCTACCTATACAAAAGCACTTATTTCATTTATGCCATGTAGTCAGCATCTTAGGGATCTGATAGCAATAATTTAATGATTAAATTCAGACCATTAGCACACAATGTATACAATAATAATTTGACTTTTCCAATCTATAAGAGTCTGCAATTTGAGCATCTTTTATTAATTTACTTTAAGAGCTGTCTCTGCCAGTGAAAGCTAATCTGAACTTTTGTCTCATTATTATTGGCATAGTTATTAATATTATAGTTATGATTATAGTCTCCAGCGTTTTCAGCCCAGGGGCACCCCCAGGATTTGCTGGTTCCCTCAGTGCCCCACCTCCCGGCAAAATAATTTTAATAAATGTGAGCACAAGAGAGAGGAAGTCACCCTACTATGAATTGAAAACATTAACTTCTTATTTCAAAAAGATTATTATGGATTTCTTATTCGGTTTTCATATGTACCCATTTTCAGTGATATCAGCTTTAACAGCAAAACATTAATTAGGGATATAATTCTTTTCTTTCTTTCGTTTTTGCCATATATTATAAGTAACCTATATTTTACAACAGCATAATAAAACTGGAAATTATGTTTTCTGTGTGCCACCCCAATGTTTTAGTAACCCCCCATATGGCCCCCCCTATGAAATAAAATCATTGTACACTACATTGGAGTAGAATGAAGCATGCACACAAAGTAATTTTGATTCGTTTATCATGTTTGTTCATGTGGGTCCCACCTTTCTTACTTTCTTTGTTCAGTTGCTTTATTATGAGTCACAGAAAGACAGTAGTGGAGTGTTGTCAAGGCACGTTAAGACATGTCTGTTTAAATGCAAATACTTAAAAGGAATTGAGGTAGATAAATGATCTTTTTTGCCACCAAAGGATTACAGAGTAAACAAAGCCATGAAACAATTTGACATTCAAATAACACTGGAGCAAGAAAGGTGGGGACAGCTGGTGAATCTAAGGTCACACAAGCCTATCATGTTTCAACATTTACACAAAGTAGGCACATGGGAGTTTTGATTTTGAGTTGTTAAGAAAGAGGGCTTTGTTTTTCTACCCTGTAACACCACCAAGTCATTGTCTGTGAAGCTTCTCAGTCATCCAGGGCATTGTTTCTTCAGTTCAAGAGTCAAATGGTGGAGAGTCCCAGATTTAAGCCCTGTGGATGTGTAACCTCAAGAGGAACAATGGACCCGCAAATGATCCTCTACCTATTCACACGAGCCAAGGTGTGAAGATGGGTGAAGGTGACCGAGAACTGAAGAAGCTTCTTGGATGAGAGGTGAAACGTCTTCAAGCGACTTAAAGAAGTGCAGACACTTTTCTTTCCAAGCTCCTTAGATCACCAAGTCATTGGTTCAGGTATGTGGATGACACCTGGGTGGAAGTCAAATTTCAGGATGGACCACAATTCACTGATCACATTAACTAGTTAGACAAACACATCATGTCCACCAGGGAGGATAAGGAAAGTGGCAGGTTAGCCTTCTAAGACTGTGAGATTTCCATCGGTAATGGGGGACATTGAAAAATTGATGTGTACCATAAACCTACACATACGGAACAGTATTTAACCTCCTAGGACCTGGCGTCCAAATATGTGGACATCACATTTTATGTTGAACTATAAAATGTTTTGGGCAGAGTGTATTTTTTGCATACAAGTATAACAAAATAGCTTCAGTCTCTTGTTTTTTAAAACTTGAGTATGAACTTATACAAAATGCAGCAAGATATTTATTTAAAAAAATACAGTTTTATTGATTGCAAAATACGCTATATTGGATTCATATCGGTATCAGCAGATATCCAAATTTATGATATCGGAATCGGTATCAGACATTAAAAAGTGGTATTGTGCCATCTCTAGTGTCAGGCATATAGGAGCAGTTGAGACACATTTTTTTCTAAACACCGCGCCTCTGTGGCTTTTAAACCCCAAAACACGCTGCGCCAAAACTTGTTCCACCCCAAGGATCGAGTCCCCCAACACAGAGTAACATAGTGTACGCTGTTAAGTGCCAGGAGGATTGCGATGATTTATACATTGGGAAAACCAAAGCGGATGGCACAAGACAGAAGAGCTAACTTGTCAGACCTGGACTTCACAGTCTAATCACACCTACAGGCCAGTGGACACTCTTTCAATGATGAGGATGTGCACATCCTGGACAGGGAGGAACGCTGGTTTGAGCGCAGAGTCAAGGAGGCCATTTACGTGAAAAGGGAAAGACCGTCTCTGAATTGAGGAGGGGGCCTAAGGGTACAACTTTCACCATCTTACAATGCTGTGATTGCAACCATTCCGTCATGGCCATTGATCAGTGGTTGTTGATCAATGGTCATGACAATTTGCATATAAATGATCAAGGAACTGACCTCAGAGCCCATTTTTCATTCAGCCGGCTAGTTTCAGTCATTGTGAAAAGGTACTGTCTATAAGACTGGGGAAACCTGCAGTCAGCTGAGACTGAAGAAGTCACTTGGATGAGTGACAAAACATTTCTCTCACTGAAAACGCTACGTCCAGATGAACAGAATCAACTTTTGGGGCTTCGTCATTTAACGTTTTCTTTTATCTTATCTCAAACAAACAGCTAAATCTCATAATATGTTACAAAAAAGATTTCAGCCTTTAAACCCAGTTATAAAATTGAAAGAAAAACATTAAAAGGATTTGCAAAGGATTCGATTTAGTTGTTATTGTGTTCTCCATATCATGACAGTTGGTAGGTTACCAAGATTATGGGATACAGTCACCTAAAGAAAATTCAGCACTAAAAGAACAAAAAAAAAGCGTGTCATTAGTGACAGTTTCCATAAACATTGTGTTGGCATCACTTTTGATTCTACCACCAGGGAGAGAAAGTGATACAGACAAGGAGTCCCTCTTGAATGACCAAGCTGATTGTGAAGCTGGTTTTTTGTCTTGATTGAATGGACTTGGTGAGATGTTTTCTCCCTGGAGTATATCACAGGACAGATCCAGGGAATGCTGGACAGATTATATCTCTGGGCTGGCTGGTTGTGCATTTATTTAACAAACCACTACATTCCTAATAAACAGTCTGCTTGAATGACACACTTATTTTTTGGCTTGCCTCACAGAGCATCATCTGCAGTGGCTCACTTTGATTTATTGATTGATTGATTTTTTTTTATGATTTTTCTGTAAATCTACATACGGGAATGATGAATCTTATTCAAACACTGTCAACAGCTGACTTGCCCATCCATTTTCTTTTATTTATTAAATTCTGGTTTAGGGAGGCTGAAGCCTATCCTTGCACAAGTT